TGAAATATGAGAGCCCTTTCGTTTGTCATTCGAATATTATGACTAGGATTAAAGGTTTTTTTTTACTGACAGATGCACAGACAGACGATTTAATGTCACGGAAAGCAGGGGAAAGGGTGATTGGCCAAATAAGGTAGCTGAGTTCACTACAGAACTTACAGGAAATGATTACTGTATATTTGTGTACATGTATCTATGTGATAAAATCCAACATGAGGCTTTGGGTTTAGGAATATATGTATAAATAGTCGTACTTATACAAGTAAAGTCAAGTACAATATCGGTAAGGTTCACGATCAAGATATACATCTTTTCTTTATTTTTAAACAGTGGTTAAAGTGATTATAGTTTTAATGAAATACGGTAGAATGTTGCTTATTTGCATTTCTTGGTTAATACGTAAATTCAGATTTAGTCAAGACTTGTCCAGGTGCGGTGTTTCAAATTCTCTTTGACTAGATATCGTTTACCTTATGTAGTCATGCTGCAATATACTGATTGCAACTCGTTTATGTTGAATCACACAGTATGGTAAAAATGTATTTTCATTGATTTGTCATTTTCCTACATTATTAAATTCATTGAAATGTTATTGGTAGAGAGTCGAAATCGGTTTCCCAAATTACTACAGTCCGTTCGATTAAATGTTAAATTAGGTGTAGAATCATGTGTTCTATTTTAGATTCTATAAAGAAAACAACTTTCATTATCTTCGCCTTAAATGATCTTACCATAAGCAGTTACAATATTCCCGTTAAATATTGATTCAATAAGAAAATGAAACAACATCACTCTGTTGTCCATGACGTTAGACATGTATTAATTTGAATCCAGGAAGGAAAGCTAGAAAGATTTTTTCAAGGAATTTAACTTTTTTTGAATGAGGCAGTAAGGTCAATTACGTGTACATAGAGTTATTTATATCTTAATGAGAATTTATATTTATAGTGGAATTTACAAGGAAGATTCTCTATCTGTTACTTACAAATGTATTGTTTTACATTTTCAGCAGTGAAATTCTGTGATTTATTTATTCAATAAAAGTGATTTTTTTTTCACGGTGTAAAAGAATGTCATAGCGATATTTTGTCATAGGGTGAAAGAATATATAAGATGTCTGGCAAAACTCGATTTCCCTCGCCTTCACAGAGTGCTGTAAAAAACATTCCTTGGCCAGTTATAAGAGAGAGAAAGAGTAAATAAGCTATCCTGACAGAGACTAAAACTGCCAAAGTTTCTTAATATATATGAAATCTATGTTTACAATATTTTCAATCTTCCAATCGCAAATCTATGACGCTTCAACCGCTTAACTATGACACCAAAGCCAACGACTTTGTTATGAAAAGACAAAAGACATAGGCAGAGGGGGAAAATCATGGAACATTTTTTAAACAAAAAATTCAACATTTTGTTGCTGAATATGGAATTTATTGCATGAGTGGAACAGGATTTTTCAATATTTCCACGAGTGCGAATCACGGGTGAAAATATTTTCAAAAAACAATAATGTCTCACACGTGAAATAAATCCCATATCCAACTACAAAAATATTCAATGTCCTCTATTTTTTTCTAATGTAATCGGATATGTAGATTGGGTGATAAGAAGTCAATATAGTGAACATAAAAATTAATTCAGATGCCATGAATGTTCACTAATCAGGTATACAGATGAATTTTCATCAATTATTTAACAGACAGGCAGTACAAATCATTGTCAGCCTTAACTAGTATCAACAATGTTGATCGGTGAATATGATGTTATGAAAAGTTTTTGCTCTGCTGGCAAATTCCATGTTTCGTAAAAGTGCATCATGGAATATTCCAGCAGAGCTATTGCTAACACACTACCATGTTTACTAAATGACATTCTTTTTTCATGCAGAAAAAATATGTTGTGTAATTCAGTTACAGATTTAAGATTTGCCTTTATTTCCCTCTGTATGAATTTGTTTTTACGATAAAGTCCTTTATTTCTGTGAATCATTTCTTTAACCCTCCTCCTTTTCTTATATTGCGTATCTATACAATTGATAGTTGCTTCGAATCCTCTTGTAAACCACCACCGAAGTACTTATGATTTTTTTTTTGTTTTTTGCTTGCCTTGTACTCCTGATAGATGAGTATGAAGTTGTTTATACGTACACGATAAAGTACTGTTTTAGTTAATCATTTCTATAACCCTATCATTTTCTTATTCTCCATATCTACACACGAGATCAATACTTCAAATCCTTGAGTAAACTTTCGTCCAGGTTCTTATGATTTTTTTGGCCTTTGCATGCCTTCCCCACTGATAGATGAATATAAATATCAAATCGCTGTTTTAATCTCCCAAACATTAGTTAATCTTTAAGATGATTGTAAATTTAAAGTTTTTTTTTAAGTATTAGAAGGTGGTTGGTTATAACCTATAACTAAATACTTTTTTTCCAAAAATACAATTTCTATAAGTTCATGTATATAAACTAGTTTAGTCACATTTAAAGTTAACAAACTGTATGGACTTCACAGATACAAATTTCCGATTCTGTAGTTTTGACATTTATTGTTGTCAAATTTCATAATGGAAGATGATTATACTAAAAGTAACACAAGTAACTAGATTGCAATGGTTTTTTAACATGAATATGTTTATTTCTGTTTATTTAAGTATCACATGTACGTACATTCGGTTGTCACATTTAAAAAAAAAATGAAGTAAGGAAGAAAACAAAAAATACACACTTCATTCCTCTTTTTTTTTTTAGATATACAAAAAACAAAAACAAAAACAAAATTGTTCATTTACTTGATCGCTTTACATTGTCTCTTTATCAATATCTATACTGTCTTTATTTTCATATTAATATATCTTAACAAATAAAGGCAGAGAAAATCAAAAATTCAATATTTTACGTTAAAATTTTACACAATTGCTGAACTTCTTTATGTTTATACAAAAAAGTCAACACATTGCTCCTCTTATTCTATTATGAAACACGGAGATAGAAACCTTGTTAAGGCCGTTCGACAAGTGGTTGACGTTAACTGCTGGAAAATTAGTTGAAAAGAGAAATAGCTCAAAGGAGTCGATTCCGTAACATCATTTCCAAATGAATTTCGTCAAAGAGACAGAGATGATATAATTAGCTATGATACCATTTAATGTGAGTTTAAATTCGATAGGGCTTTAAAATGTGTGCAACAGATGTCTTTAACTTCCAAAAAAAAAACATATTGTTCATGTGGCATGCTAGAGAAATTTCTCTAAACTATCCCAGAAACGATATGATGGTGAATTTCACTGCGCCTGGTGGCTTTAATGCAAAAAAACGAAGACTTTGGAGGAATGCGTTCATTATTTTTTTAGTTATGTGTAAATGTATACGATTAAACTGGACAACCCTCGAATACAACATACGATTAATCATCTTCATTTTAAGAGTCGTCGTTGAATCATTCGTATTGCTTTAAAAAAAAACCTAAGTTACATCGTTTGGTTGCTTTGAAATACAAGAAATGTCTATAATCTGAAAGGAAAAACTGTTTTAATATTCGTATAAATTATAATGAATGAATGAAATAACATGCATTGTATGTACGTACATTACGTAATGTAAATATAAGGTCCATGTCAAAACCTTATTTAGAAATGCAGTGATATAATGCATCTCATTTAACCTTATTATATCAAGATTAACAATAATTCTATTATTCCAAACAACGATCATTATATTTTTTCATCCTGTGTAATATTTTTTACCAATTGTGACGACATTCAGAGAGGGACAGATCTTGACACAATACCTTATCAAAACTAAATAAAGTTGTTCATATCTTAAATAGAAGAAAATTTAATGTAGTTTAGGTACAGGTTTCAGTACTGCTCAATACTCCTTATTTAGGTTTCATTTGCAATAAAGATTTTACAATAAAGAACTTCATCTTCGTTCATTTTAACTCGTCCTCCTTTGTTTTAGCAATTTCTATCTTTACAACTGATAGTTGCTTCAAACCCTTGAGTAAGCTTCCGTCGAAGTAAGTATATTATCGATATTTCCTTTGTATTTCTTGCCCTTTTGAAAACTGTTAAGATTAAATCAGCGTTCCAGAGGTTTGATTATTATGCCCAATTCACAGAATAGTATTGTTTTTAGATTATTTTCAGGTCGGTCTGTGTTTATCATTTTTAACTATTTCGTTCTAAACTCTGCACGTTAGGTTCATAACCCCTCTGCTCACTAATATAAAATGTTTCTTTAACTCTTATGATTTTCCAAAAGAAATGTATTTGTTAAGTAAAATACAAACAATTATTGCATAGCTTGCGGGGCAAAACTTGACAGAAAAGATACTTCAACTGGACAAATTTATAAAGGAATAATAGACATTTGTGTCATTAAGAGTTATCTCTCTTATCAGAGTATCAATGAACCTTAAATGTAAACGATTTTAGAATGTGATGAGTTAAAAACTTTTAAAGAAATAGACTTTTTAAAGTTTTATAAGTATGTGAACTAGCTTAGCAACAGTAAAGTTAAAAACTTCATTTAATTAACTCTGTAGATAAAAGTGTCCGATTTCATCTTTTTGGCATTCACTTTAGTCTCAGTGCGATATGAAATACATGTATATGTTGATATTCTAAAAGGGAAAGAAAATAAGTACATCGCAGTGTTTTCCTGTATACTGAAACATGAAATGCTTATTACTGTTTAATCACGAATTATACAATTCTCATTTAAATATTTGAAGTAACAAAGTTAAACAAAATACGCATACAAATACAAAAAATTGTTCATTTAGTCGATCGCTTTACATTCACTGTTTATCCGTTTTTATACTGTCTTCATTTCCATATATCTTAACAATTAAAGACAAAGAAAATCAATAATCCAGTATTTCATCAAAAACTTCACTCAATTGCTGAACTTGGTTATGTTTTTGTAAATAGTCAAAACATTGCTCATCTTATTCTAACATGAAAGAAATGCAAAGTATAATGACACTGCTTCCATTATTGGTTGTAGTACACGTTTTCTGATGTAGTCTCAATGTGATCACAGACAGCTCTATATATCAACAGATATTCTTCCTGAAAGTCAGTAAAAATATAAATTATATAAAAGTCATAAAATAAAATACATGTACATGATTATAATATATAAGGGGTGTGAGGATTACAGGATTGCTTGTATGGCAGGCCTTTCCGCATGACTGGATGTTTCTTTTTGTTATACCTCTACAGATTTTTCACTGTATGAGAGTAAGTCAATATATTTTCCTGTCAGTAACCGTAAAGAGAGTGATCCCCTAACAAGAAAGGGGCGGGGGCTCAGTTTGTTCCAAACTCTGAACACTTTCATTTCATTTTATGAAAAATTCCGATCTGTTTCAAATAAATTTATGAATATTCATATTCAATTAGGATTTCACCATGAGTGGACAAGTTTCTGTAAAAACCAGTTTACAGTAGCATACAAAGTCAAATATGGTAAGTTCCCAGATTTTGGATATATCTTTTTTGGAGGGGGGGGGGGGGGTTCTGTTGGTGATAAGGAACATAAAGAGTCAAAATTAAATGTTATATCAATTTTCTTTTTTTTCTGATCTATTGTTAGTATCTGTATAATAAAACAGTTTAAGTGTATCTCTGAGTATGTGGGTAAGCAAATTTCTAATTTCCAATGAGCATCCCTATACCCTGTGGCAAAACCGAGATAATTAGGCTTTGCTCTTGAGGAACTGAAGTTTTGCTGACTGTTTCAATCATCTTATTTCACTGTATGATAGCAAAAATATTTACATGTATATACAAATTAGAAAATGGTTCAATTTGAGGGACTGGGAAAGAGATAAAACTTCTCTATAAGCTTTCTTATTTTATTCTAAGTTTTCTTATATCCGAGTTTCTAATAAGCAAGTTTTAATGCATATATTGGCACATATTTACGTGTATCACAACAATTTCCAAAGGGGGTGTATTTTTATAGGCAAAAATGAATAACAAATTCCTCATCAAATAACTAACAACTTTATTGGTTCAGTAAAGCCCAAAACACTTCCTCGCTGTTTTAATTTTTTGCTCTTTTGAAACACAGGTATTATCGTTTTGTTTTCCCTATAAAAATATAGTCTAAACGCACACATTCAGATGGACAATAATACCTCTTAATGCCTTTTTTCGGAGATGATACAAGAAAATACAGTGAGAAATGTCCTAACCTGTGTTGAACAGAATTCTGGTCTTCTTTTCTGTAAGAGTCTGACAGCAGTAAATACGTCAACATTTTCATCCATAGTGAGTTGTTGTATCACATTATATACAGAACAGAGGACACCACACAAGGTGGCCCCATCTCTGTAAGGTAAAAAAGAATTAAGTTTAAATTTTCCTAATCCATATATCATTTAAATGACTGTAAGAATGATGAAAATAAATGTAAAAGTCCAGACCAATACAGACTTCTATTCATAGGCGATTATCTTTGCCATAAATTACCTTTTGTTAAGCATAAAATTTTTTTACATTATTTTCCAATCTCTACTAGGCTAAAGCTCTCAAAACATTGAAATTCTACTATATAACTTTAAATTATTAAAGCGTAGAAAACTATATCCCAATTGCCAGTTGAATTCCCAATTGAATCCCTACTTCATCCAAGTATTGTATATAATTTATTACCCCATCGCATCGAAATTGAAGTGGGTATAGTAACGCGCTTGTGTGTGTGTATGTGTGGCTGAGTGGGTGAGTAAATGTGTGGTAACGGAAGTTATGCAAGTTATAATTTAAATTGCATGAGGATGCTCCGTGTTGCGGTGCCCTTATTTTAATTGATAGACAGTATCTCATGTTAACTCATGTATATGAATTTGAAATGTTATACATTGATGTCAATCCTAACCTAATCATTTCCTTATGATATGGACTTCGTTTTTACGAAAATAACGAGGCTTTAATTGTGTGGCATCTACTGATTTTTTTTTCTCAAGTTTTTGTAAATCCTGGTAAGTAAGTTTTGTAAGAATTCGACCTTGTTGTGCAAGATGAATGCATACAGATTAGCAGACAACAGATTACATAAAACCCTTTACGAAAGATAACATTAGACATATGCCTCTAGTGACTTTAATAACAGAAGTTCACTCTTGTATACTCTGTTCTAAACGTTCGTCATTGGCATTTTATTTTACTATTTTAATTTCATTGGATTGTTTTTATTTTTCTAATGCTTTCAATCCTGATATAATTCATTATTTACTTCCCTATTCACCACTTTCTTTTCCGGCCATAAACTTTATAAATTCTGAATGCTAAAAAAATAATTAATATCACTAATATTCTTCCTATACAATAGTTGACTTACTTGCTGACAACGGTGATTGGTCTTTCAGACGAAATATTCTTAGCAAATGAGACTAAACTTCTGAGAGACGATGTGTCATGAGGCGTTCCGGTTGACTTCAGAGATCCTTTGGGTTCTACTATGGTTACAGTATGTGTTTCCTATATAATGACGGAGACTTACAATTTAAACAAAGTACAAAACGAGGATGATTGCAATTTCATTCATCATATTTTAATGCGTTAAACTCTGTATTGTGACACGTTATCACTATTGTTTATTTCCTTCTTATTTATTGTGTTAAAATCATTCATAATCGATGGATAACTGAAACGCTGTAAATGAAGATCCAATTCAAGTTAAAAACATCTAAGAAACCAATCGTTTTTGTTAGAATGAAATCAAATTGATTATCAATACAGCTAAGATATTAATTATAAAAAACGCAAATACTTTGTCCAAAGCTGAAATTTCGAAAGAACTTTACTTATATCAAATAGTGCGTTGGCATTTTGTTATATACTTTAAACAATTTGAAGAAAATCTTTATTTTTTCGTTTAACAGTGAGCCCACCAACTTGGTGACATTTTTTTCTTTTTGAAATATTTGGCAAAATAAGATCCTATTAATATTTCAAATTTGTTTCAAAAAATATAAACTCATCTCTGGGGCATGTCAAGATTTTCTAAAATTACATCACTTGAATTTTTTTCTTTTTTTTTTCTTTTTCTGAGAAAACATTTTCTATTGAACCCCATCATCATTAACGCATAGTTTAGAATGCTTTTCCTCACCTCATCTTTCACAATCTTTAAGGTCGTGGCCTTAACATCTGTATCTGCTTGTGTTTCGTACTGTACAGTAAATGGAGGGACGGATCTTGAAGAGGTAGGATCCGCCATCCACGCTTTAGTCTGGAAATAAATGTGCATCAATCTTTTAACTTTTGATATCTATGGCTTCAGACTGCTTATTCGAAAAATCAATGGATACCAATTATGATGATAATTATGAACGAAAGCAAAATTTTGGGGGAAAAAATCAGAATGAAGACATTGATGGTAAAACGTTGCAACAATTAGTAATGTTATTCTAAATAAATTTCATTTGTATTAGAAGTTACAAACATAACATAAACTGGTTAATTGATAATCGAAGTTCAAAAAAATTAAAATAAAATTTGTTTTACATATACAAACCGATTCAATTTCACTTAAAGGATTCATGCAGATGACATTATCAGACTCATGATCAATGAGCAGGCGCAGGAAGTCGACAGCGTCCTCTGTCGTTGGATACTTCGTCACTATGAAGGCGCCCTCTCTTGTGTATGACTATGGAATACGGGGTTTAAATTAATTAGATTCTGTATATCACAATTAAGATATACTGACTATTGGGAAAGACTGGTACTTACAGAAATGTTAATTGCATTGATGAAGCTGCCTCGCTTTGGAATTGAAGACGTCAAGTACAAACTGTACTTGTCAACTACAATGACATAAAAAGGTAAATTGTTCAAAAGATATCTGTTTAAAACATTTCTCTAAAAATTCTAATTGCACTTAATTTTATTTCTGATGTAGAATTTGTGGATATTTAACCAGAACTCTATCATCAAATCTTACAAGTCATATTTTATTGTAATTCCACTGAGCCATTTTTGATGCTTTTCTTTTTTTCATAACCGGAAGAGTAAACTCTCCTATAATTATGTTACTTTTAAAACTTTAATAAAGTGTACTCGAATAATGCAGTAAAATTCATTTGTAAATACTCACGTGGTAATATTGCTTTCCCGTTTTTGTCTGAATTGTGTTGCCTGGCAATTTTATAATCAGCTGGGGTATAAACTGGTCGAACTTCCATCAATAACTAGAAAAAAATGAGGAACAGAAGTTAACAATAACTAGAAAAATATGAGGAACAGAAGTTAACAATGTCAAACGATGAAAAATACATGTAATAGAGTTACAAATACTAACCAATGAGGAACAAAAACGGCTAAAAAGTCAACCAATGAGGAACGAAAACGGCTAAAAAAGTAAACCTTTGAGGAACACAAAAGGGCTAAAAAAGTAAACCAATGAGGAACAAAAACTGACAAAAAGTCAATCAATGAGGAACAAAAACGGCCAAAAAGTCAACCAATGAAGAACAAAAACGGCCAAAAAGTCAACCAATGAAGAACAAAAACGGCCGAAAGGGCAACCAATGAGGAACAAAAACGGCAAAAAAGTCAACCAATGAGGAACAAACACGGCCAAAAAGTCAACCAATGAGGAACAAAAACGGCCAAAAAGTCAACCAATGAGGAACAAAAACGGCCAAAAAGTCAACCAATGAGGAACAAACACGGCCAAAAAGTCAACCAATGAAGAACAAAAACGGCCAAAAAGTCAACCAATGAGGAACAAACACGGCCAAAAAGTCAACCAATGAAGAACAAACACGGCCAAAAAGTCAACCAATGAAGAACAAAAGAGGCTTACGTAAATAATGAGAAGCCTAACAAACATTCAGAATAATTAAGCAATAACGGATTTTACATGTACCTCAAATTCCTTTCTTATAGCAGCTTGGTTGGCCGGTGTGTCTCCCATCAGTTTTTCTGCTTTCTGCGTGAAATCTGAAACAGTCTGTGTTTCTACTGGGGCTTTAAAAGCTTCGTTCAGAGCCAGGAAAATTGTCATATATTGTTCCTGCAAGTTAAAAATACACGACATTTATGTCATTCATATCCCATTAAAGGGAGCTATTTTAATTTTACATCGGAGCACACGGTTTTCATTTTCCATTAATAATCATTATAATTAATAAAAAGTAAGATTATATTACATCTAGAACATATCAATCTAAAGTAAATAAAATCGTATGTTAATCTTGAACAGTAGTAGGTAGATTACACTTGTTTCTTTATTACACGAAACGTTAAGTTTTTCGTTTATTATAAAGAACAGTAGCTTACATAGGTTTGAACCATATTCATTCTGTTTGCCCTCATGGTCTTCACATATTCTGCGATATTGACTTTGCCCGATGCTTTCCCAGTCTTGTATAAGGCATCCAGTGCAATATACGTTCCTGTTCGACCTATTCCCGCACTATAAACAAGAAGATTTAACGTTATATATTTCATGGCCTTACGATGTAGGTAAGAAATAATATCATTTAAAACTAAACAAAAATGATTTGGATTATTAAAATAAACTTAAACTTTGTAAAACAAAATATTGTGCACAATCCGTAAAAATGCCAATACCTGCAATGGACAACAGTTGGTGATTTCTTCTGATTGGATCGTGTTCTTGTCACGTGATCATGAAAAATTACCAGACAAAGCGGATCTGGTGTACCATGGTCAGGCCAAGTGGTATAATGATAGTGCGTAACAACACGTGACTTTTTAAGCTGAAAATGCACAAGAACAAGGACGTTGCTATTATAGTTATGCAATATGTATTTTCATATTATAAAAGATTATTTTTTTCCCATAGTGAACAGATAGTACTATATTTACTAGAAAATATCATCAGAAATAGACGGTTTAATTTTTGGATGAAGGTCAGCAGCTTAATAGAGTTCTGATTTGAATGCAAATGTTTTATTACAAAATATTTTTAGATCAACATCGGCATTATATATAGAAACATCTTTTCTTTGTATACTCTCCGTGATTTACTAAACATTTTTCAGAATATGACTACAATATTTCTACCCCTACATCGTGTTTATTTACAAAGAAATATTTCTTAAACGTACCTCCTTGTGTGAAACAGACAGCTTCCTAGTGATATAGAATGCGTATTCTTTTACTTCAATGGATTTTACAATAATGTTTCCAAAAGCTCTGGCTTTCATTTCTTCTGGCCAATACTGCGTGCACTTTGTCTGACAAAAAAACCCATGTATAGATTAATATCAACACTTTATAAAGATGTAGAGTTGAGCAATTTCCGAATAAAAATTGTACATATCTACACTTTTAAAAAGGGGGAGGTGTTATTGTAACCACCATATATAATTTTCCGTTTCCTTCCTTTCATCACTCCTAATGTTATTAAATTTATATATATCATTCATGTTTAAAGCTGCAATTTTCATTTATGTATTGTAAATACTTCTTGTGACGACCACATTACGTACGAGGTGGTACTATTTTTATTCCCATTACTATATTACTATAGTCTTTTGTTCTTAATTAACTCCATTATCCCTTCTTCCGTATCATGACCCCTGGGTCGAGGCCTCTTCTGATGGACTGTTGGTCCCTGGGGTTCTCTACAGCCTAGTAGCTAAGTACTTCGGTACTAGCTTAAAAATACGGATATATATTCAAATTCCTGTGGTAAAATTTAGAAATTTATTTCAAAACTAAGGATTATCTCTCTCATGCATAGCTCTGATCCTTCGACGTATTTGGCTCCAGTTTTTGGCTCCTTTTTTCAGCTCTTCGAATTCTAAGATTTTTTTATTTAAATATCTCGGAATTCTAACGTTTCGGCATGAGCATCACTGAAGAGACATAATTTGTCGAAATGCGCATCTTGTGCATCAAAATTGGTGCCATATAAGATTTACATTACTGAAGGTGTAATAACATGATAAATATTTACATTATAGCAACTATTAATGCGCTAACCGCTCTGCACTTTGAAGTGAAAAATGCTGGCAATTTGGATGAGACCTTAAAAACTGAGGCCCCGTGTCACGTGAGCATAAAAATCCCTCACTGCTCAACAGCCCTGATTGTCGCGTAAAGTTTTAAATTTGACGCCCATCACCGGTATATGGTGACGTCCCTATATGAGTAAAACTTCCTTTAATTGGACTTAAATCAACACACAATCAATCAGATTTTTAACAAATAGGCTCTGTTTAATAATCCTTCATGCCTATCTTCTCTCGTACTTGTGTGTGTATGTTGGGGGAGGGGGAGGGGATCAACATTTCAACAAGAGTGAAAATTCTCTCCAGATATCTCTCCTCCTTCAAACTCATCAGCACCAAAATCTGTTCTTTTCCTTTTTGGTTCATTTTTCTGTTTATTTATTAAATTAAATAAATATCGCGAACTCCTTAACTTGTTATTTGATCGTTACCTTTGCTCCCTCTTTTAGATTTGTGAGCATCACAATCTGTGACACATTTTCTTGCCACATCATCATCCAAAAGTCGTTCAATGTGTTTTGCTTTGGACCTTTAAATTAACGAAAAAAATGCTTAAGGTACTTTTTTATTTGTTAGGGAACATGTAGTGAATATATTTTGGAAGCTTCTGTATTTCATCATGTGTACCCTCTTCAGTTTTTCTTTGAAATTTATAAAATTTTGATATCATGAACTTTAATTCTATTATGTGTGCTGATATTAATGAATAGAAAGGGTATATTCAATACCTACAATTAAGTATTTTCAAAATATGCAAGCTTTTAAATACTATAGTATTCATTAGAATATTGAGAAACAAAATGTTCAAGTGCTAAATCAATCGACATGATGGCAATATACACGTAGTATTACCTTGCGATGCAATATATTCCCGCTCTGAATCCGTTCCCTTCAATAAAATTGACACACAAACATCACCAGCACAGTGGATATATAATTAACAGTCATTTATAATTAATGCAAAACTCATCTTTGAAGTGTTTTTTTTAATTATGATATTAATCGTATCACAGTTAAAAAGTTATAAGAAAGATGTTATGACAATTTAAGGTTTTGGTTTGGGATACTCGTAATTAATAAGTACTTAGAAGACAGTTTCAACTACTTTTTAAAAGTAAATTTCTATGTTGAACATACGTTTATAAAATTAGCGTTAATGTAGTCTGAGTTTCCATTGTTGTCTTTTAAAACAACTCTTGAATGATCGTCTGTAAAAGATATACAATAATTAATTATTATAATATAATATGTAATAAATAAAACCAATCAAAAAGAACAAAATAAACGGAATATTGAATTCTCAGTAAAGATCAATGTATAATCCTGACTTACAGGGGAACGTTGTTTTGAATCTGTTTCTCGGTACGTTTTCTGGCAATTTGCCAGCATCACACTTGTGTTGTTCTCCATGTGGCAACATCTGAGTATAGAAAGAGGTTGAAATTAAAACAGAATGATGCACATTATTTGTTCCTCCAGGTATATTTACAGTTCTAAATCATGAAATTCAGAGTTTAAAAAACTTACGGCATATTCTCTTTTAAATCCTTCCTCCTCATCTTTTCTTTTCTCTGCAATGATGTTTTCGAGTTGATTAACCGGAATATCCGGTATGGTTTCCTCATTTATATACATATCACCATAGGGATTCTCGATGCCTTCGTCATCTGTGTCGTAATCCCTGTCCTCGTATTTCTTTCCATTTGGGATTTTCACTGTAGTATCTTGCTTTTCTGACTTTGGAACAGATTTTGTTTTTGTCTCCATATTTTCGTATATGTTACTGAAGGTCTGATTATTTGACTCGTTGTTTACTGAATTAAAATAAATGTTTCATTAACATACATGTACTAATTACCAGCATTAGAAAATAATGAGTTGGAGCTATATCCTAATATAAGTAAAAACGACACCTAGAGAGGGCAATACGAATTCTAATATAATTTTACATCTTAAGCTATATAAGAGAATATGTTACTCTGTTATGCCTTAAAAAATGATTATAAAAAGTTATTTTACAAGAAATTTTAAAACTGTGAGGTAACATACTTGTAACCTTAAGTTTTCTAATTATATTTTACATGGCACATTTTTTGGTCAAAAGCAATCTATGTGTCTGAGAATCTATATATAGTACAGGTCTAGGGTAGCATAATTTTAAATATTACGCGACAAATAATGTTTGGCTTTATAAGCATGTAATATTTAAAATGTCCATTTTACCTACGGGTAAGTTTATCATATCCATTGATGATAAACAACTTTTTTCTAAATAGTTCCTGTCTTATTTGCTTATAAATCAAACTTTGATTGACGTATATGAGCTTACAGTATACATTTTCCTCTCTCTCTCGTTGTTGTTGACGTCTTTCATGGCGAGGTGAGTCGTTTTCATGTTTATTCCTCCTATGTCTGAAATTAATAACAATGATTACATCTAGCTTTAAAAAAAGAAGCTATTTAAAAAAATTAATGGTACTTTTTTTTCTCTTTTCAAAACTATGAATTGAATATTACTTTTTTTTTTTCATTCAAACACCTTTGAAATATTCTATTACTATTTACATTTGTCTTTTCTTACTTTATTTTGAGATCCAGTAATGAAATACTATACTTAGATATACATTTAATAGAATATTACATATATTTTCATTTAAACACCATTGGAATATTATAGGGCTATATACATTTTATTTTATTTAAAGGTCCAGTAATAAAAATGCTTTACCGAGTTATCGTTTTAAAGGATGACTTAAATTCGTAGATTCGCAATGTCAAAATCGTTGACTTATTACTCATTAAGCAGGGAATTCATTTCATCATTACATGCTTTAAAATTACCTCCTGAACAAAACAACAAATAAGACAACTGCCAGGCTCACAATAATGGCAGCCACGACTCCTCCAATGATAGGGACAGTGTTGGTGGCGGGTGGATCTGCGGCCTGCATCTGCACAGTGCAGTAGAATAGTACAGTAAAACACAGAGCGGAAAAAGATAAAGCAAATACTATTGATTTAAACCGTTAAAGTGTTTGAATGAAAATCCTTAAACGAAAAGGAAAAAATAACCTGTATATGAGATAAGAGTTCACAAGTGTGGACAAACCTATTGATTTAAGTATTCTAAGAACTTAAATCAATAGGTTTGTCCACCTTCTACAAATATTCTAAGAACTTAACGCCTTATATACGATTGTATTAAAGTACTGTGTGCGTAATTGAAAGAATCAATTGTACAGTGAGCGCAGCGAGGCGGCGCGAAGCGCCGCTCGCGTAGCGAGCTCCATAGACAACGTGTACGGACGGAGGAAATTCGGGTTGAAATCTGCACATTGTTCAAAGAAATTTTTATCGTCCCACGTGAAAATATTCTATACTCCCAATAATCCTTTGCGGTGCATAGCAACATGGTGGCTTAAGCATAGCAACAACTTACTTGATAAAAATAATAAACAACGATTTAATTCAATTTCCATGCCATAACTGCCCATAAAACTATCGTTTGCGTCCTTGGAACACACGACTTTGTATGTGACGTCAGATTTTCGTCATTTTAACAACTCGGGTATTTCCGATTTTGTCGGAAATATCCGAGAAGTTAGGAATTTCGATCCCGATGCATGGGGAGTCTGCAACGTTAGAGAATATATTCTTCAATAACGGTTTTAAAAAAAATTATGTACGATACACAGTAAACGCGCGATAAAAGTGTAATAAGCAGAATGTAAAACATTTGAGAAGATGTGTAGAGTTTTAGAAAATGAACTGCGCTCGCCCTAACGGTTTCACCGTCGGACATATTACCTTAGTGGATACCGGATGAAACGGAAACATATTGTGACAAAATTTACATTGATGAAAGCTATATGATCTGGGGGAAGAGGTACAAATGTGTTAAATTTAATAAGTTTGACATCATATATGGCAATTATATGTCATCTTTAATCTGAGGATACAAATTTGTGAAAGGACGAGATATGCTAATTACCCTTTTTTGGCACCACGATATTTTATTAAAATTTCTTTGTGGCATACAAAATAGGATGATTAAGGTGCATGCCTATTCTCAACTTTATCATATTAGTGAAAGAAAAAAGGTAAATATTGGCGTTTTACTGGGACAACACTCGTAAAAACACATACTTCTGATGCTATTCTGTTTATATTTGACATAATTAATAATTAAAAAGTTTATGTGAGTATACCCTAGTTCAAAAACAAATTGTATGCTATTATGAAAGATAACACTTAACCAAATTTAAAGATATTACCATAGTTGTGAAAAGTCATCTGAATAAATTTATTATGATACATAATTCTGCATTTTGATTCATGTTTATATAACGCAGTTTTCTCCCTTTTTTCCCATTAAGATATTTTTCTAAAAAATATTAAGATTGAAATCTGCTGATTGGTGTTTATTCATTTATTTCAAATTAAGACATATTAACAATGTAATTATAGGAAAATGTGTTCATTTTTAAGGGGGGGGGAGGGGGGAGGTATAATGTTTCAGTTTTTCCAAGGATTTTACATACATCATGGTTATTTAATTCATTGTAGATCAATGCAAGGGAGGACTTGAAAGAAAATCTCAATGGGATGTTTATTTCAAATGGCTTTTAAACTGTGTTTTGAATAAATCGTAGACTTTAAATATAAAACAACAAACAATATATGACAGTATTTTAAAAATAATTTTCTTTCTAAATTCAAATTATATGTAATAATGTAAAGTATGGGGAGAATATGTTCATTTATGCGTTACTAGTTTTAAGTCGGGAAAAGCATTATGTTTCGTCTTTTCGAGAATTTTATAAACAGCAATATTATTTTAATCTTTTTAGATCAAACCAGGTGAGGATCTGAAAGAACAGTTCAATGCGATGTTTATTTTAAATGGTATACATTAAAAGTGTTTTTGTATAAATTAGTTTTTAAATTAAACAACAAAACATTGCACTATTTTCAAAATATTATACATCTAAAATCCCCATCAATCATTGTATATTAAAAGTGTCTGACACTCTTAGTTGCAATATAAGAAGATACTTGTTATAATTACATATCATCTAATCACTTTACATCCTAATTTCCTCGAATACTAAGTATTTTATCTGAACTAAATAGTCTTTAACTGAAATGAACTCTGTATATTATTATACCTCATATAAATAATCACTAGTAAAATAGAATCTGATTGGCCGATACAGTCACGTGACCGTCGTGTTTGTCCTGCAACAAAAACTTCGTGTTTCACGTCGTGTTTCACGATTATGACATCACAATGCGGCGACTGAGTTTACTACTGAGTTAGATTGTTTATACCGTTGATTGATTGTGTCAATTTAAACGTGTAAAATAAATATTTAGAAAAGTGTTTTCATGGGTGGGGTTTTAATGTTACTGGTGTGTAAATTACACTGACTTGTCACGAAGGAATGTTTTTTGGGGTTTTTTTATGAAGCGCGACTAGTGGTGTAACTTACTTCTGTTTCATTCTTCTTATCAAATGTTTACTTTATTAATAGGATTTTCTTTATATTTCCTGCATTGTGCTTGATTTGGTATAATAAACAATTCATTGCATGAATGTTCATGAGACATGAAGATTTCTTCGCCCATGAAAAATCATATTCCCCTCGGGCGTTGCCCTCGGGGAATACGATTTTTCATGGGCGAAGAAATCTTCATGTCTCCCTCACTATCATGCAATAAATGTATAATATCATACTTAGTACGTGTCTTTACTTTTCAGGAAAGTGTATAAAAACCCCGTTTAAAGAGAAACTTGATTCATAAATCTTTGGCCAATGACATAATCGTGCTCTTGAACTTAAATTGAAGTGATTGTAATACTTAAATGGTATTATGTTATCTAAAATGTGTAAGGTATTAGAAACTTTTTTAAACAGGAAGCATATACTTAATATCAAACTGTAAAATCGGTTGGGTTTCAATATATAGAGGATATTCAATGTTTTGTAGATGAATATGGAATTTATTTCACGAGTGGGACAGGATTTTTTGATATTTTCACGAGTGCGAAGCACGAGTGAAAATATCAAAAAATCCTGTCTCACGAGTGAAATAAATTCCATATTCATCTACAAAACATTGAATTTTCTGTTTATTACATTTTCTTTGATTTACCCTTTGCCTCTGTCTTTTCTTAACACAGTGTCATAGCTAGGCTTGACGTCATAGTTGAGCGGTTGAGACGTCATAGCTTAGCAGTTGTGAGATTGAAAACATTACATAGCATAAATTTTTGCAACATATTTGGGAAGAAAATTGCAGTTTTAGCTCTATCAAAATGTTTAGTTATTATCTCTATCTTATAACAGGTCAGAAATTATTTTTTACTTAGATATCCTTTTACACTGTGAGAGAATATCATTTTGGTATCCTTTCACACTGTGAGAGGATATCACTTTTATTCAATAAATAAATCACAGTATTTCACTGTTGAAAATGTAATAAACTTGAATATTCATGTATGCACTGTACTTAACATACGAAGGTTGTTAGAAAAGTTCGCGGACACATTGATTTACGGAAAATCTGTTGTGTACTGTGAAGTATTACTTATATCTGATTAAATTCCTATCTTTTGTTTATTAGTATGTAAAAAAAAAAAAAAAAAAGAAAAAAACAGGTCCATTTAATAAAATTTGAAAAATTTACAACAATTTTTACTAAGCCTTTATAGCATTCACTGAGCAATCACTTGACGTTAAGTGACGCGACAATCAGATTTCAAACCCGTTAAGCTTTTCATAGCTCTAAATATCTTTCATTTCTTTCGACTTTTCTTGTCTTTTTCCTACTTAAAAGTTAAATATCTATATCAAGACACGTTACTTTTCTTCTATAATGTATTTTGTGCTGCTGCTTCGGATATTAGTGAGATCATAAAATAATAGTCTACGCAGTTAAGAGATCATGTATGGAAACAATGCAAAATCCATAGGCGCAAAGTCCATGCGATAAGTGGGGTATTGAGTTATCGATGGAGTTGATCATTAAAAATGTTAATCCTTCCATTCTTATAAAGCTACTACCATCTGAATACTTTTGTCTCTTGTACGTGTAGGCAATCTAGAAGCATTTTAGTCTATTTTCAGATATTTCCTGTCGATCTGCACACATACTTCTTTAGTAGCTTGGTGCTCCATGACGTTCAATGACGTTCCCATTCTTAATTGGCTTTGTTTTTACGCGTTGATTATTTATAAATGGCTATAAAACAGTCATACACCCTCCAATTTAATTCAAAATTTCGACAAGTGACGTTTTATGCCTTCTCTAGCGACAGGTAAAATATAACAATTCTTTCTGTGCTATAACTGTGCAATTTTTAATTTCAATAAAAAGCCTATGTTATGTAAACGTGCGAAAAACTAGCATGCTCCGTGAAGCATGTTTTATCAAAATAATATAGCTGTATATTTTTTAAGGATCACCAGAAAACACCAAATCTTTGTATATTTATTGGAAAATAGGTAAGGTTCTTATCTGGAGAGTTTAACCGGTTTTATGGAAACAGCGCACTCACAATAGAACTTATCCGCTAACTTTTTAACAACCCTCGTATGTAGTATTTTCCTATGTAAAGATTAAAGGTTATAGTATTAAAAAAGTACATAAAGATAAGAAAATATACTTAACAGATATGGCCTAAATTTGGTTCGTTAAAATCGCTTCCACATTACATGCACATACGCTCAAACTCAATCCTACTTACCAGCGTACATTCCCCTGACTTGGCGTCACATGTTCGATTAGAACACTCTGTGCTGCATGTTTCGTTACACCCGTATCCGTAAAATTTCCACGGGCACCCTGAATTAGCGAATGAAATCTTATTCATTATCTTTTTTCTAAATGGCTTATTAAAATATAAGACAGACCATGAAAGGATGACTGCACTTAGCGCCTTTTGGGGTCTAATTTTACTTTATTTTATTTATTAGAGAATCTTGTCCATTTGGAACCAAATTTAAATGTTAAAATGATTTTAGACTGTGAAACAATAAAAAATTCAATGTTTTTATTTACTGTGATATCACTAATTTTCGGGGGGGGGGGGGTTTAATTTTTCTTGTTTTCGAGGTATGAAGAGACCCACGAATGCATGACCACCAAGAAATGTAAAATATCAAATACATAACCATTCAGCAATTCTTCATCCAGGAAATCAAATCCCCACAAACCTATAGTTTTCCTCAAACCACGAAAATTTGACCCATGAAAATATGTATCTTTACATTATTTATTTATTTTTTATTTATCTATTTATTTATTTATAGTCCTTACTGCTTTCTACATGTAGAGAATTTCACTTGCCTTCCCTTGACTGAACATTAGGTTGACAAGAAAATTCATGAAAGGTGGAGCTAAAATTGCAAGGATGGATCTATTTTACCCATTTTACCCATCTCCCTCTCTATCCTATACGGCACAAGTACACTATTTATAAAGGATTAAAAAAGAAATAAATAAAATTATATGACCTCGTCCATGTAAGTAGAGATTTTTTTTAAATCAATGCCTGTTAATTTAAAGTGTTCGAACACAATGTCCTAGTTAGCACATAACATGCTACATAACAAGTCACGTGACGAAATTTAGTATTTACAAAGTTACCTAAGATGAGAAATCTTAGGAATTATAATATTCAACATGTCACAAACTTTGGTTATAACAGAGAGAACAAATGTAAGAAGAAGCCCTTATTTCTCTTTTAAACCATGATCGCATGTTTGTTTAATAATCTCCTTTAATGCACTTTATTAACGCAAATATACAACTACCCTTAAACGGAGAACAATATGGATAAGGTCAGTAAAAGAATTGGCGTCATTATCATATGGAGAGTCAAGAAATCGTGATAACACCGCCTTTGAAAACAGATTCGTACTTCGTAAATACATACTTTTATTTAATGTAATTTCGTAAAGTTTCAGATTGAATGTTGTCTATTCATGCAATTAAAAGAAAAATGCTTGCTTTGAAAGTTTATTGTGTTGCAATTTCGCACGCCCTTAAGTGCAGACATCCTTTAGTAGTATTCCACACGTTCTATGCAATATATAACAAAGATAAAATGATTGCTGATTTGCCTGATTTTATTTGTATTATACCCACGTATACGTGCCAGAGATGTAAACCCCTATAATTTAATTTTGACGAACAATAATATATTTTGTTTATTATTTTAATGTAAAAACACAGGTATTATTTTGACAAAGTAATTACTATGGGTATCTTTAGCAATGAATTGTATTCAAGCTTTTATAAACATTTAATATAAATAATGGAATTGCATTCTATGCATTATATTTAATTATAGAAAAATGTTTTATGTCACCTTCTGTACAATTGTCTCCTTGATAACCTTTATCGCATCCATTCATGCATGTCCCGTTTATGTGATGACATTGTTCCTTTTCATAGCAAACACCACATGACTGAGCACAATTTATTCCAAACTTGCCACCATTACATTCTATAGAAAAGAAAAGCATCTCATTTTTTTTTCTTCAATCAAAAATCGGATTTTAGATATGTTCAATATGTCATTGGTTCCTTTTTTAAAAAAGATGGCCAGAAATTCTTGAAGCAGTGTAAAGATATGAGTATAAAAAAATACAAATATATTGGCTTACTCTGGTCACATTTCGTGCCTTTCCATCCTGCCTGACACCCACCATCGCATTGCCCCGTTACTTTGTTACATCTACTAGGAACTCCACAGTTGATGTTACATGTATCCTGGCAGTTGTAGCCATATAGCCCTTCAGGGCATTCTAGAAAGACATAAAAAAGGTAATGAAATTAATATCATGTCTTACTACTTCTTAGGATTTTCTTCGTTTATGCTCTGTACAAGATGCCAGGAAAATTCAAAAGGGATCTAATTATTTTTATGAATACGTGTGTGCCATGACAAGATAGAACAAACATTAATTATCAGCAAATTTATCAAAAAGAAAAACTAGTACATGATATGTTCTTATTCCAAAATTCCAGTTGTCTGATTACTTTTATTAGAATTTCGAGCATTGCTAAACATTTACACGATTGTATTTTTATTTGTTAAATTGTTGTAAAGTGGGTTTGTGATATGATAACATGAAAACATGCCCACCTTCAGTGCATTTCTCTCCTTGAAATCCTCTGTCACACCCTTTTAAACATGTTCCGTTAATATGGTGACATTGTTCCAAATTCAAACATGAGCCACATGAGGTATTACAATTTTCACCGTACATCTCTCCATCACATTCTATAACATTCAATATACTATGTATTCTAGATCTAAAGTTATTAGCAGTTATCTAGAATGAGAATAAATAATAGCTAGTTGTTGAAGGATAATTGCAAGAATCTGTAAAAACAAAGGATATGGTACATGAATAATCAAATGCTGCGGAAAACATTCTTCATTGCGATTAACGATTAGAAGTTAAACAAATTCCAAGAAAAATTAGATGTAATGTTTAACTATCACTCAATAGGTATGAATTGTGACATGCATTTGACATGAATCTCTGGCTTTCATTTTGCTGCTTTTATCATATTCTTCGAAACAGTTGTATCCAGTAAAACATCCTTTATTGCAATTAAAGATTACGCGTTTAACAACTTCCAAGAAAAGGTACATGCACTTTTCAATTATCACTTGATACTTATGAATTATAACATGCATTGACATAAATCTCTGGCTTTCATTTTGCTGCCTCTGTTATGTCCTTCGAAATAATTGTATCAAGTAAAACAAAATATTTTAAGTAGACTTTTTATAGGAATGCTCCTTTAATTATCAAAGCATGTGTTTAGGATAAAAAAAAACAGGAAAGCTTTAAATACCATTTTCACAGAAGGTCCCCTTCCATCCAGGAAAACAACCAGACTCACAAACACCAGTGAATCTGTTACAACTTCTACAGTTTGGCTTACATTGTTCGGCACAATTCTTTCCATGTTCACCAGGAGGACATTCTGTCAGATGATAACAAAGATAAACATACAATTAACTTTTGTGTATGTTAAGGTTAGAAGAGAGCCATTAAACTCAATGAAACCTGGTAAGTTGCTGACATCTATGATAATTATTTGTATGATGTACGGTAGTGCTTCACGAAAAATATTCATGTGTGAATCCCTAAGAAACATATAAAAGCTTAACATTACTTATAATTTTTTTTTTAATTTTTTTCCCTTTAGTTCAATTGCACACAAATTGGAAATGTGAACAAATGTTTATTTCAGACAAGTATTGTTTATCTTTCAAGCGTGTAGAAAAATAAAATTTCTCGGAAAGACAATTTTTTTGAAGAGCGTTGGTGCTTAATTAAAATCATGAATATGAATATATTATGAATATTATAACGGTGAACTTTGAACGGTGCTAATTTCTGATAGGGGTTCTGTGAAAACTTAGTTCATCGCATGCCCAATTGCATTGCGGTTGCTATTCAAGCAAAAAGAAGAGTAAACAAATACTACAAAGTAAAGTAACATTTTTGAGAATGAAAAGTTTAATAAAATTGCAAACTTCAATCATATCTTTTGTATGTGCCAATGTTTAGTAGCTAGCAATATATTTATTTCCATTTGAGTGTATTTAAGCAATTCACAAAGCATACATGTTAGGCTACAATGTTTCGAGCTGAACTTTTATACACTGTTTATATGCTCTCCTTTGTGCCCTAAATTTGAAAAAATGTTTATTACAAGTTTCCATCACTAACAGTAACCTCTTCCACTGGAACTAGTTATTGAACTATTACATTAAAAACTTTTTAATTTGTGGAATAGGAAAAACAAAAATTTCTTCCAAATAGGGACCTCTTAGTTTTATAAATAAGGCATGCACAACTTCATCTGACCTTGGTCACATTTATCTCCTTTGGCTCCAGCGTCACATCCATTTGGACAACTTCCGTTCACATGATTACATTGTACTCTGTTGCTACAGTTACCACAGGTCAGGATACACTCAAGGCCATATCTATTATTATCACATTCTGAAAATTATCAAAACATCGCCCGCTATTGCACACCGAAAACTTAAAATCATATTTATAACAAGAACATGTTTCATATACTTACAATTTCATTAACAATTCATAATTTGAGAAACTGAAGTGAGATCCCAAAGAGAAAAGCCTTTATAGTCATCATGAAAAGGACGTCCGCTGCCTTCAAGATCGATTGATTGATTGATTGATTACATGTTGTTTTACGTCCCGTTCGACAATGTTTCACTCATATGGAGACGTCAACACAATACGGTGAAGGGCGTCAAATTTAGACCTTTACTCGGCACTCAGGGCCATTGACCAGTAAGGGTTCTTTAAACTGCAAACGCCTACCGTGACAGTGGAGTCGGTTTTTAAGGTCTCATCCAAATGACCCGCAACTTTCACTTCTTACATCTTCAATCAAATTATCATCAGTCATAGTGCATATTTCATTTATACAACATTTTAGAGAGCTATGCTCAGCATTAACATGGATAAGCAATGGTACTATTAAACGTTGATGTCACTATGATGTAATGAATTCATAAAACTGTTTTTATTTTTGAAATAGTTATATCAAATTAAAGAGAATTCCTCCAGTAGATCGTTCCCTTATTTAAGCCCATTGAGCTTTATTTGTGGGGATACCTAAAGGACAAACCAATTTTTCTTGAGAATTTCAAGTTTGTAATACACAGGAAATACGGAAAAATACGGAAAGTTACTCCTGATATGTGTAGAAATGTTATCACAAACGTTAAAAGGAGACTTTATCTCGTACTTGATTAAAAGAGACGCCATGTATAACATGCACTGTAAAGAACGCATTATTTCATACGATAGGTTCGTGGGTTATAATATATATATTTATTACATGACATATACTGTGAAAAAATCCGTCAAAACATTTTGAAATATTCCATAAAATTTTATTATACCACGTGAAAACTTTAATATCCATCAAAATGGCATCAGATATTTTGGATCATCCAGTACATTTTGTTTGTTTGTATGTATGTTGTTTAACGTCCCTCTCGAGAATTTTTCACTCATATGGAGACGCCACCACTTGCCGGTAGAGAGCTGCAAATTTTGTCCTATATGCTCGGCACTTAGGGCCATTGAGCAGTGAGGGATCTTTTTCGTGCCAGCACCTACTGCGACACGGGACCTCGGTTTATACAGTCTCATCCGAAGGACCTCATCCAGTACAATGATGAATCATATTAATTAAACACCATATGCTACTACATGCTACTACAATTAATTAGTATTTACAATAAAATTAGATATATTTATTTTAATTTCACGTTAAGGTCACAAAAGTTAATGTGAGCCAATTGACATGAAAGAATGAAACCTCTCTCTCTCTCTCTCTCTCTCTCTCCTTTTCAAAACGGATTGCATATACATACGTTGTTCACATCGTGGTCCTTTGTATCCGGCAACACATCCAAGACAACTCCCAACCACAATGTTACAATGTCCCTCCTGACAATTCTGTGGACAGGGTAAATCACAATTTTCTCCATAAACATCCGAAGTAGGGCATCCTAGTTGAATATTAAAGTCTATATTATCCATATTGCATACTAAGATGTGATTTTTCAAGGTTTGTTGTAGCATCTTACATCCAATACATCAAATACCCCCCCCCCCCCCCCCCCGTCCCTTTCCATACTAAATTAAAGTCTGCAATTTTCATTTGAATTCATTTCAAATGAAATATGCAGCGTCGTATCAAAGTATCGAAGTATTTGCAGGGTTTGGTTTACAAATTACAAAATTAACACGATTTCCGATATGAACAGAATTAATCATAGATAAGTGAGATGTCGAGAAGGCATACATAACAATTCTTGATTTAATATAAAACTAGGGATGTCAACGAGTATTCGAATTCTCGACAATCGTTCGGTCATGTTCACTAACGACTAAATCTTTTCTACTCACTAACTCGTAGAATTGTGCTATTTGATAGTACCGAATATACTCGCCTATAAGTCGGAATTTTCGGGAGTTAAACTTTGGGAATACTCTATGTACAACTTATAAGCGAGTCCTAAAACATCGGTATTTTTCTGGAGGAGGATATACAATACTTTTGAGAAAATTCCAACGATAATTGATTTTACAGGTCGTGATTTAATCTAAGATTCTTTAATGCAGGAAAGGAAGATTTAAATTTAAAGTTACCAACATGCATAACACATACAGGAGTTAACAAATTTTTATAATATTATCTTTCTTTACATGGATACTAGTAATAAAAGATCAAATATCGATGCCATACCCAAGAAAATACTTTGAAATACAGATAAATCCAACTAATTGATTTGCAATTAGTAACAGATTCCAGCAAAAAAATGTTCCAACTTATAAACGCCGGGTCAATGCCAAATTCCTAAAAATTATCTGAAAAATTCTACAGACTTTTTTTACTGATTTTTTTCCCCTCAAAGATTGGAGAGAACCTTTATATCCTGTGATAGACTGGGTGGTGAAAAACAGCCTGATTGAAAAGAGGAATCCAAAGAAGACCTAGATTTTAGAGCTGCCATTGCTCTTTTAGCTTCAAGGTTTTTAGATCTGAGTGAAAAATCCAGAAAATAAACACTCGAAACAGCAAGAATGAGCTTACCCTTAGATGCAAAGAAATGAAAAACACTGAGGAATGATTATATTAGAATAAAGATGTCATCATGTAAGGAATTCGAATAGGTGCTATGGTAGACAGGGACGGCATGGAGACAAAAAACCCAGTCACATTTCCAAAAACGACCAACGGTCAACGATTTTTGAAGCAAAAAAAAAATTCTTCGGGCGAGAGTCGGCTGTTCATCTGCCGTCGTCTTGCCCGATTTTGACGTTTTTTTTCGTCGGCCGACCAATTTTGTGTCTGTTGGACCATGTTATTTTTTTCTGCCTCGGTGTCCGATTCCTTCAATTGAAGCAGTCGTTGAATAGTCCGTCGACCAACTTCGTCGACATTTAGGAAATGGGTTTTCGTAATCCACGGCCAATGGTGAAAATCAAACTGCGACTTAGTGAATGATGATCGGGTGACTATTGGCCGACTTGGAATTACTTGAGTGCTCTGATTCTCCGGATACCAGTGTCGGCCGATCATGTTTTACAGCCGACCATACGAGAAAAAATTTGGTCACCCGACCATCGGCTTAAATGTGACCTAGGTTAAAGATATTAAGAACATACTACAGAAAGTAAAGGTGGCATTTAAGACTATGGAGAATCTGGAACACCAAATGAAAAGGAAGGAAAACAAAAGTAAACATTTTGGAAACTTTAATAAGATCGGTACTTTTGCATGAATGCAAAACATGAAAATCCACCTTAGACAAAGAACATTTAAATGTATTCCAAATAAAATGCCTGAGAAGAATATTAAGAATTAGATAGCAACATTCAACAACATATAAGGAATACAAGAATAATGGATATAACAGTAATGGATACCATCTGCTGGGAAGTACGAAGGAGAATATGGAACTTGACAAAACACATGCTAAGATGAGAAGGCAATTTTGATTGTATGTCATGTCATGGTTAGAAGTAATAGTAAAGGAAATAGTGGAATATTCCGAAGCTCATAACTTTCTAATTTATTATCCGATTAAGACGAACTTGGTGTCGTTGGAAAGCTACGAAAAAGGAAAATATAATGAAGTCAGAGTTTTAAATCCCAGGTGAAAGGGAAAGGGGAAAAGTTGGATTCTAATTAACACCAAAGATTGTGCTTAGAAAGGTACAAATTGAGATTTTTTTTTTACCATTTTCATGACATAGCCTTGGTAAGGCAGCTAGAAAGATAACTGGTAAGAAAAGACCGAAGACTACCTGGAGAAGAACAATCCAAGAGGAAAGGAATATAGCTGGTTGACCAAGCTGGAATGCCAGTGAAACACAGCTAGGGATACAAACAGCAAAAACAAATGAAATGTGATGAGAAGGAACGGTAGCTTCAGGCCCATGGACCACATGGCTTACCTGTGTACTTTGGCTAGAGAAAAGCTGAAATCAGTTCATTTTTGACAAGTTTTAATATATAAGTGGTCCTAACCTACCCCCCTCCCCTCCCCCAGGCAGTCATGATCATGATTTGAACAAACTTGCACTAACTGAGGAATGGATGCCTCTATATTTCTTTAACAAATCATAAATTTAGAATTTTTTGAAGATTTTCCCCTTATATGTCTATATAAAAGTTTGATCTTCTATTGTGGTCCCGTCCTACCCCATGGGGATCGTGATTTGTGCAAACTTGAATCTAGACTAACTGTGGATACTTCTTTATTAATTTGACTAATCATGACTGCTGTTCTTGATAAGATTTTTAAAGATTTTTCTGATACATTCCTATGTATAACTTAATCTGAATCTACACTATGTAATGAAGCTTCCACATAATTTTCATCTTTTCTGCCCGAGTAATTTTATGTCGTGTGTCGTCTGTAAACTTTTTCACATTTTGGATTTCTTCTCAAGAACCATTGGGCGAATTTGAACCAAAAATTGCCACAAAGCATCCTTAGATAAAGGGAATTCAAGTTTGTTCAAATGAAGGGCCAAACCCTCTTTCAAAGGGGTGATAATTAAGAATTAGGGAAACATTTTTTTCAAAAATCTTCTCATGAACCACTTGGGCAGAAAAGATGAAACTTATGTTAAAGCTTCATCAAAGTGTAAATTCAAGTTTGTTCAAATCACGACTCATGGCGATTAAATTTTTATATAGGAATATAAAGAATAAAAATTAAAAATCTTCTCACAAACAGAAAAGCCATGAATAGCTATATTCACCTGGAAGCAGCCTCAGGTAGCGTTGAATACCGTTAAGGACAGAAGATACGTTCCTCAATAATATATATTTTTTTCTAAGATTTTGTCGTTGAAGTATTGCTACTTTAACATGTTTACTCGCAAAAAATTGAGGTACCTTACCAGGCATTTGTGCAAGATACAAGAGGATGTTTTTCCTATAAAATCCTTTTGGAAAAAAACTTGATTAGCCAATAACACACTTTTTAGTGTTTCAATTTTTTAAAGACAATTTGAAACCAGTTTAGAAATCAGAAGGTAATTAAAATTTTGAATATGTTCCACACAATACCAAGATATACAAAACAGATATTTGAGGAACATATCATCTGACCTTAAGGATGAAACGGTACGATACCATACCGGTATTTTGGAAACGATACGATATTTTAACGATTCGGTACTATACATTGATGAATGAGAATGAGGGTTCATTATATTTAAAAAAAAAAAAATGTGCTTTCACCAATAACTAACCTTTCAATGTCATAAACTATGTATGTATTTCAACCTTTTGATAATGATCAACATATAAATTGAATCCCAAAACAAATTAATTTGCACAAATCGGCTGACCGCTTCACCCGGTTGACAGGGCCCATTTTGTTTGGTCGCACTAAATGATGCAACATTAGGCAATGGATAGAGATGCACATCACATTTTTGCGACAGTATGCCTTTTTAATTTACATCTATCAGTTTTTATTAATAAAATTAAAACACGATTAATGTGGATGTATTTTAATTAAGAAAAATTAGACGTATTGATTTACCTCGAATATCGGCGGTCGAAAGGAAGTATCGTATTAACCCTAAAAAATACTATAGTAAACTATAGTTAACTATAGTTTACTATAGTTAAATATAGGAAATCAAAGGTCCAATGTTTTTACAATAGGAAAATAAAGTTCCAAAGCTTTCACTACAGTAAATTAAAGTTCCAAAGTTTTCACTATTATAGTAAATCAAAGTTCCAAAGTTTTTACTTTGATACTATAGTTAACTATAGTAAACCATAGTTAACTATGGTATTTTTTTTAGGGAAGCATCCATTTTGTTAATTAGCCTATCCGTTGAATGCGTGGAGAATTCGATTTTAGTGAGTCTGGATTCGTTTTATTTAAATGATTTTGAATGTATCAAAACGTTTCAAAAATAAAGAAATACCGTTATTAGTAGCGGTATTAAATGAAACTGTATTTTACCGGTATTTTTTAAGTTACTATTCGGTACGGTATCGGTACCGAGAACCGGTATCCAACCCTAGCCTCTGCAGGTAGTGTAGATTCAAGGTTTTTAACTTATGATCCCCAGGGCTAGCATAGATATATACGAAACCATCTTCAAAATCTTTTGGAGAACAGGAAAGAAAGCCATTTTAGTCATATTTACGTGGGAGCATCCTCAGTAGTGTGGAATCACGCTTGTTCAAATCAACATCCCCATGGGTCGTGTCAGGCTATAATAGTCATTTAAAGTTTTACATAGAATATTCTAAAGAATAGCAAAACTATGATTAGTAATATTTATATGTAAGCCCCCCAGATAGTGTAGATTCAAGTCTCTTCAAATCATGACCCCCTGGGGGTAGGGTTGGGCAACAATAGGATATCTAAGTTTTTAAGTTTTTATTCTAAGAATATATAGGAAAAAACTTTTAAAATATGTTCTCTAATAAACAGGAAATCCATGATAAGGCATTGATATACAAGTATTCTCAAGTAGTTTAGATTCAGGTTTGTTCAGAATAGGGCCCTCGAGAATAGGTTGAGACTACAATAAGGGATCAGGGTTTTACAAGGGAGTATATAAGATGAAACCTTTAACAAGAATTTCAAGATTACACTTAATATTATAAATAATGTATAGTTTTTTTTATTATTATTTTGGGCCCTGGGATAGATTGAACAGAAACCAGAGAGCCAAATTTTACAAAATACATGTGTACAGGAAAAATAAAAAAAATCTTATCCAGAACTGCAGGGCTATGTTGGATGTATTGACATTGAAAATCCCAATGCTGCTCTCTTTTATGTTTGAATAAATCATAGCTCATTTGCGTCTAGATTCTGGTCCACAACATGGATTCAAAATATTTATGAAACTAAAGATTTTTTTTTTCAAATTGTTTGGCAAATGTAACCCATGTGAGTGTTTTGGCCGATGGGCCTCTTGTTTTCTTATTCTTCTTCTTTACTTTGTCTGATAGCACTTATATTTCAGCAGTAAAGTTTGTAAAGTGCTTCATAAACTTCTGGAATGCACGTACTTCGTTATCGCCTTGTGGTCACAGTTAAATTTATTCGTATACCATTCATTATTTGAACAGACGCAAATCCATAATGGATGGCATTGTATTATACTTTTTGTAAGCAGAACTTCACTTAGTATAATAGTTTATGTGATCCCTGTTTTTTTCCGAATTAGGAAGCTATAACTTAAACAAGTTTTGAACATAAATTGAACAACTCGTCTTACCTGCAATTTTTTAAGATATACAGGGTGTTTCATAACATGTTACATTTTTTAAAACTAAATATTTTTCTTACCTATCATATTTCTAATATAAACCATCTATCATTTTAAACATGAAATTCTGCATTTTTATTCCATGTGAAAAAAATCAAGTAAATCGTAGTATTATTAAGTTAAATTGTAACACAAACGAAGATGTCATAATTTTAATATTTTTTGAAGTAGATATAAATTGTCAACGAATTGCTGAATTTTAAAGCTGTTTTTTTTTTCAATAAAAATCGCCGAAATTCATTCTGAAGTTGATGAAAGAAAGTATTCCAAAAGAAAAGAAGCTTTTTTAAGATGGTAATCAGAATGCAAGTAGCAAAGTTTGACAGGATAGGGATGGGCAATATGCGAGAACTGACACAATAATCAAGAAAGACTAATTACTTCAAGAAGAGATTTTCTTGTTGAAGTGGATAAATAAATAATTTGGCAAGCTCCTTAGAAAATTGCCAGATAGATGTTTTCAGAAATTGAGTCTGTAATATCAACATTTTCAGTGTGTATTGAACTTTGAAATATGATATGAAGTTATCATTATACAAATTCTCAATAATGCAACACCTGAAATTAAGAGTCTCCTATATTCGCTGATCTCGATTTTGGGGCCTTTTTTCTGTGGGGATCATTAAAACAGGCTCTACAGTCCTAGATCCCAGATACTGAATGAGCCCAAGAAGAAAATAAAACCTGAAATGATGAGTATCTCAACACAAATATGTGACAACAGCTATAAATATTTTAGAAGCAACTTTCTCTTGTAGTTGAAAAAGGCAGAAATCATTTAGAACATGTAATGTGAGTCTTTGACGTTGTGAAATTCAACGTAACAAAAATAACGCAATTCAGACATAATGGTTGAGATTTCATTCAATGTTTAATATTTTAGCTGGTAATTCTATATTATGAATCTAATGAATACATACATGTTATTGATGAAAACACTAGACTGTATCTTTTTTATTGTGTTTGTCAATTTGTATATTCAAAATGTAACATATATAATGAAACACCCTGTAATCATTACCACATAGAGTATTATGAAAACCACAGGAAAATCTAAAGTTACATTTCTTTGAAAAATGTTGTGTCCTCTTACCATAAACTTCAAATTCGCAAAGTTCATTGAATGCGGTCGGGGAATATCCATCTGGGTAGTCAGCTGATGGGAGTCTCTCATTGTAATAGATGGCGTATCTTCCATGCTTTATACATTCTATAGTAGTTACATTTGGTATTGTTGCTTTGGTGTACATCGTATCCTTAAAACACAGCATTCCATCATCTTTGTTAGTTGTGTTCGATATGTAAACGGAGAAACCAAGAAATCTTTCTGTATATCCATTGGTTATGCCTGTAGAGATATAATAACCCATTTATTATATTATGTTGCTGTCTTTAACTTATTTTTTTTTTAATTTGTCGATGAGAGATAAGTTGATCATATGTTTTTTGATTCTAAAGAAATGATTTCCAACAACTCTAATCCACTTGCAGGGACACGTTATAAAATATTCAATTCGGTAGAACTTAATGGACTACACATAACGCGGTGATGACCTTTGGGATTTTATCTTAAATAACAATCATGACACAAGATCTAAGCTTTTTTCTTAGATTTATTAATAATATGTCATTTCCTGATTGGCATTTTGACAAAGTAAAAATAATTGTATATTTTTCTGATTTGGAAAACAGCGGCTGTCACAGTAGGACGTATATATAGAATCAACGTATGCAAAAATAAGACAAACACTTCGTGTACTTTTGAATACGTTAAGAATAAGTTCATAACAAGTTACAACTTTTAATACAGCAAAAATAGGGGGTATTTTCTCTATTGTTTACCCAGTTTACCCTCTCTTAGCGACGGGAAGGTGGTAGAGGTGTGTCCGTTGTCCAGTATCTCAATTAATGGATATATTTCGCCGATGAGCATATTCTTACGGAAAAGAAACATTCATTTAGAAATGAAATGTAAAGATAACGATGCTTAAAAGTCCAATTAGATAAGACAAATAGTAAGCAGAGCAAACACGGACTTCTGAAAACATCAAAGGCGTGATCAGGTGCCATGGCGGAGTAAGCATTTCATGTGAACCGGTCATAATCGCCGTGAAACTTCTTTCATGATCGGGTAACTCAACAATGTGTATGAAAAACATCTGTCAACATTCAACCTAAAGACAGATTATATTTGCAGACAAGGTCATTGTACCCTCCATAGTATTTGCGAGATATTTACCTTTAGCAGTTTTGTTTATACCCATGTATTATGAACTAATTTGTCTATAACATGCAGTCTAGAAATTTAGACGTAGAAAATTATCTTCTTTATCGAATCAAATAGGAGATATTGACACCATATGCAATAAATAATGGTATATTGCTATATTTATATAAGGAAAGAGGATGGAAATAGACAGTTTAGTTGTTTGTCATCAGTGTCTTTCTCTATCGAAATATGAGACACATGTACAAACTCTGTGGCGTATAATCAATCGTGCATTTGCTATTTTTATCTAATACCTCTAAACGATTCCGAAGGTTTGAGCGAATGATCAAATATCATGACAAAGTGTCTGTCTATCATTAATATTTTTATTACTTATAATCACAAAATATCTTTATAAATTTATGCATATATTATCTGTCCTTAAAAATAATTGTATTCAAAGATATCGACCAAAACCTAACGTACAATGGGTGTATGTAAAATGTTGGGCCAGGAGTGTATACACTCTCTTTTTCTTACATATGTCATTTTCTGAAGTTTTAATTTTGGGGGTATTTACTACCACCAGGTAAATTCAAAATTTAGAACATGACACATAAATTAATACGAAATATCATTGGAAATATTCGTTTTGAATACGAAATCATCTATTCGAATTCACGGATGATTTGAATGAGTGATATCACCTATATGTTTGCATACTATGTTTTCTTACTATATAATTACAATGAATGGTCCGTCCTTTAAGACACTGTAGCTTTGAAAAAAAATTGCTGTCACCCATGCAGTTGATATTATTTTTTTTTAATGTATTCAAAGAATAACTCTAATTCCTTAGCATTGCCTTAATACTGACGATGTTGATTGTGTACCGATTTACAAAATAAGAAAATGGAATGTGATCGTTGAATTTTATTAAAGACTCTCCTCTGAACTTCTTGACCTCAAGAGCCATATCCTCAGTCTACTTATTCGGCATTAGATAATCAAATAAGATGAAGATACGCTGTAACACAAAAAACCTTTCAACTCAAGAGGAAAAGTGTTTGCATGTTACGCACAAAAATGGAAAAAGATCCTTACAATAATTTTCCGTATTTCTTTTTATTTGATCCTGGGAAAATTCGGGCTGACCTTTTCCCCTTTGTTTTAGTTTGATGCAATTTAAAACACCTATCAGTCCTTGTAAAGCAATATAAATTTATATATTCTAGTTTAATATATTCAAGTTTTAGTATGTTAATTGATAGATATAAACTTTCCTTCTTTTGTTATTACATGGTTACTTATTTTCAAAGAGACTGAAAGATTGATTTTCCTTTATTCTGATGATCATATGCATGTAGTGCCTGTATATTTGTTGGAGCTATTGTTATTTCAAAAGGAGAATTGTGAACAAGGCGCGCAGAATGCCTATAAATTCAGATATGTAAAAATCATATTCAATTTGTGAATTTAGTGTTTGGAGTAATGTTCTCATTTTTTACATTTATGAAATTATGATAAATATAACTTTTCTGAGGAAAATTTTCTCGGCAAAAATTATTGTTATTTAAAAATAACGTGATATTCGTGGAGTTGGAACCCTAGAAATAAAAATCCTGAGTATAATTTTCCTTTGCGACTTACACGCTAATCACTACGCTACCAACTTCTGATGAATGGTGGCATTTTAATCATGTTTAATGCGAATGCTGTGTCATGAAAATGTATTTTTAAGGAATAGTAGGTCTTTGCACCATGTTTTTGTGAACCAAGAAATGTATATTTTATGACAACTTTAAGGATAAACAAAAACATGGAGCGAAGACCGACTCATATCAAAAAATTATGATAAAGTATGGGAAAATGATCCTTTTTGCCCTCTTTCATAGCTATTTAATAGGCAAATAATTTCAATATTTGTGACATTTTTTGCAAATTTAGGAGATTTTACATAAAGTATCCTTTTGTATTAGATGAAATGTCAAAGAAAATTTGGTTATAATTGAGATTTAATTTTTCACATTAATCTTTGTCGCACTATAGGCATTTTGGTCACCTTCTTCGCCCATCTTCTTTTTTGAATAAGGTATGTCACTCATTTAAATAGCTGATATCACCTAATCATTATATGATATTACCTATTTGAATAAGTAATATATGCCATATTGTAAATTATAAATTTACCGTATGGCAGCAAATACAATTACTGATTTGTCGAGAAACATTTGTTAAAAAACATTGATGCTCTCTGAATGATGAAACCACCCCTACAGTGTGAGGGAACGTAGCAACAGTCAATATTGCGCGTGATATTCCACGATTTTGACTGCACATAATTTATGCATATAAGGTACATCATTAATATGAATCTGTATTAAAAAATATCCGGTATAATATATTAAACATTGCATGTAGTTGAGGGTAACATTGAAAATTTTAAATTTAGTAAAGAAGGGACAGGTCATTTGCACCTACTTTATTATAGAACAAATTCTTGAAAATCCCATAAGGAAGTGCTTTTCTTGGAAAACTGCTCTTTTTCAGAATGTATATTTTTTAGTCAATGAGACAAAATATATATACAGTGCAGGAAACTAATTTTGTTACAGCATCAATGCTGATTTGAATGCTTCCTTTGCTTGCTGATTTAATGCTAGTTATCCTTATCCTGATGCTGTTTTATAATTAGGTCAATGCTACCGGAAGTAGCATCATGCTACCGGAAGTAGATAATGAATTTCAGCATTGCCGTTTAAAGCAATAAAAGTGCCTTTTACAATTATTTGATCATAATGACTCACTATGTATTAATAATGTGAATACTTTAACCAATATTCTTTCTTTCTTTTTTAATTTTTTACTGAATTAAAACTCATTGATTTTCTGATGCTAGTAGGATAATGCTGATTTTATGTAGGTCAATGCTTGTTTTATCCATGCTTGCTGATGCTGATCCTGGTAATGCTGTTTTTTAAATGCTGATGCTAGCTCGATCCTGATGCTACTAATGCTTATGCTGATGCTGGTTTATGTAACAAAATTAGTTCCCTGCACTGTATATGATAATCCATAAGTTACAATACCTAGATCCCATTACAACAAACAAATGTGTATAAATGCAGGAATGTCAAAACCTGAGAAATAATCTTATACTGATTGAATGAATCCCTAAAAAGGAATTCTTATGAAGAAATTTATTAAAGTGAGTTACGTAAATACTGTTGACAACGTCAACAATTGATGACCCCCACTCCCCTTCTTCACAATAATGAATCATTGTGTTTAAAAAAAAAATTCTGAAATTTCTACTTCTCCTGAACAAATGGCTGTACTGCTTTCCATTCAATAAAGTCGCCATATTTTATGTCTATCCCCCACCCCCAAGTTACTCCTATCAATGAGAAGGGGTAAAGTTTGGCCTAGCTTTAGTCTGGAGTAAAGATACCCTCTTTTACAATAGCCCCGAATTTAGACCGGCGTAGAGTTATGACTGGTCGTGCAGCCTTTTTTGGAACGTATCCTGAAGTACGTAGTACATGTATTTGTCAGAAAGCACTTATTAATACGTACCCCAGGGTAAATTGTCTGTCCTGTAGTAGATAGTTATATGATGGATACTGAGTACTCCTCCTAGATTAACCCACCAGGTTGCAGTTTCTGCAACATTGGCCGATATTGTACATTGATTTCCCAGTGCACCTCGATTATCAAACCGCCCATCCACTGCTTTATCCGCTCCCCATGGCTGACCAACATATGGATGCTGCTGTCCGGCAGGCTTATTTAATGCAATGTTTTCTGTAAATCAATATAAAAATATACTGAAAGGAAAACATTTAGGTAGAATTTTTTTTTTTTTTTTTTTTTTTTTTTTTTTGCCCTTTGGTGCAAAGAAGGATATAACTTAAAAACTAATGAGTTTTTGTTGGGAAAAAAGTATTCTGAAAGTATTGTGTATAACGCATTCGCGGCAGATGTTAAACCTTTGGTAGCAATATATAAAACAACAATAGACTCATTAAAAAGAACTTAACCATTTACTTAATACTTAAGACTGGAAAATGTTGTTCATGTATGACATACTCACTGATTTTTTTTCCCTTCAATTCAGGATTATAGCGAGTATTTCATCAAAAGAAAGAAGGAAAGAAAGAAAGAAAGATAGATAGATAGATAGATAGATAGATAGATAGATAGATAGACAGACAGACAGACAGACAGACAGACAGACAGATAGATAGATAGATAGATAGATAGATAGATAGATAGATAGATAGAGCACTAATATTAAGGGGGCCGACTGGGGTTTTCATAGCTCAATACTTCGCGCAGTATAGTAAAATAAAGCGTATTTACTCTTTTTAAGCAACTATTTTTACATAATTTATAAAAATCAAAAAATCTAATTACGTTTTCAAATTACAAATTTTTTAAACGATTTTTCAAATGATTGGTAGAAGACGTCGTAATAGTATATTTCTGACGTTATGAATAACCGAAGTTCTTTAAGTGGAGTCATTAATTATGCCATAAAATAAAAAGTATAAAATATATGCTCTTGAAATTTTAAACATAGGAAATTGAGAATATAACTATCATTTCTATTATTTTTTTTAGGTAAATCTGTGGTATCTGTCATGTTTTGTTGTACTCCATAAAATGAAATATATGAAGATAACGAACAGTATTCATGCTCAAAAGTCCATTAAACAATACAAAATAGGTGCAGAGCAAACACGGACCTCCAAAACATCAGAGGCGGGATCAGGTGCCATGGAGGAGTGAGCATCCCCTGCCGACCGGTCACATCCGCCGTGTGCTCCTTGTCATGATCGGGAAATAACGGAAAAATCCGTCGACAATTCAGTGTGTAAATAATGGCCTAACAATTAGTATGAAAAACGTCAGTCAGCATTTGACTCAATGATAAATTGTATTTGCTGACAAGGTCATTGTATCGACCATAGAACTTACAAAATGATGACTTTAAACGAGAGTGCTGATATTCTTGTTTCATCAACTTGTTTGTCAATAATTTACCTCGTTTTAGAAATTAATTGTACATACGTAGAGCATGCTCGAATCAACTGAAAGATATAAACACCGTATGCAGGTGAGGAAGGTATATTGCTGCATAAGTAAGGGAATTGACGATTGAAAAGTTAGTCATCACGTTTATCATAAAGCTTGGTTTTTAGATTACCATTAACGTCTTTTTCAAGTAAAATATCCAAATATGAAACAGATGTGTCAGACTTTGTAGTATCTTTTATCTCAAGCTCACCGGGATATATCGTATCGACATAAGAATGGAAATAATCATCGTTAATTGACAATACGTCGTCGATATATCTAAATGTTGAGTTGAAGGCCACAGAAAGTGTTTTCTTCTTTTCACGTATAAGATTTTGGAAAAATTCTGCTTCATATGAATACAAAAAAAAAGTCTGCTAATAAAGGGGCGCAATTGGTACCCATGGAAATCCATAGATTGTTGGAAGACCTTGTCTCCAAAAACCTCATAGATATTGTCAATCAGAAACTCAAGCATCTTTTTAATGTCAACTTCAGAGTACTTCTGTGTGCGATCAGAATGTTTTTTACAAAATAATTTTGCAAATGACCAATGACAAGGTGAGTAAATTTACGAGTTCCACTTTTATTGAAAAGCAGCTGTCAATGATATCAAAAAGCTGGATTTTAATTTATCGTGGGGAATGGTTGTGTATAAAGTTGAAAAGTCGTAAGTTTTTAAGCTGTTCATTTTGGTAAAATCTTGTGATTTTAAATTTTCCAAAAGTTCCTAGGAATTTTTAAGTATCCACATCTGATTTACACCACTTCTCGAATACATTATTGCACAGTACTCTTGAAGTTTCCCCTTCACTACTGTTAATATCTTAGTGAGGAGTAAAGAAAGAGGCTTGGTTGAACATTTACTGGAACCCGCTATGTATCTTTGTTTGTAAGAATTTTTATGAAGTTTCGGAATCCAATATAGATATGGTAATTCAAATTCAATTTGCTTGTTTGGAATTTGAAAAATATTCAAAACTGTCATATGATTTTGAAGAATTTCTTCCTTAGAAAGGAACTATGAGTATAGGTTGGATTACCACTTGCAGAATTAAATCCAAGTTCCTCTAAAATACATCTAATACAACGACCCTTACAACCAAAGACAATGTTGTTATCTGCTTTCTCAGCAGGGACCAGTATGTACTGATCATGTAATCTATCTAATTCTTTTTTCACTTCTGGATTATTGAATACAGAAGGATAGATGGTTCTCATATTGCCCCTCAACAGGAAACAGAAAAATAGCATGAATTTTGACATTTTGAGATGCCTCCTCTGGAAACCAGACGGTAGAATTTTGTGTTTCTTGCAAAAATGTACAATATAGTATTAACTATCAAATAATATAATTTGAGCAAAAAGTCTGTAGTAGTATTTGTATAATTTGCTCCGAAGTGCGTAAAAAATGGTATTTTCCTATATAATCCTATAGTAAATGTACCTGTATTTTGAGATGGTCCCTAAAAAAGAAGCAAACGATAGATTTTCACTAAACTTGGAATGTATACTGAAGTCAGTGTAAGGTACATATGGTATAAAATTAAAGAGTTCCTCTATAGTAGTTTTCACAATATAAAACTCCAGTCGGCTCCCTTAATTGTAAATTATAAGGTGACATCTCCAGTAAAATACATTTCAATCTAATTTTTTAAAAAAATTATAAGGATCGTTTGATTTAAACGACGGGTGAACAATCAAAATTTGTGACAGGTAATTGCACTAGGTCTTGCACATGGCAACCAATTCATCTAAACGAGGGAGGAAACCCTTTTACAACTATACACTAACTACATTTGGGCATATGCACGAATACATCTTTATATAATGAAATTCTAGTTAATAGTGCTTAATACCAAAAAATGAGGACCAGGTGATTTGTGTGTATGTGTGTGTGTGTGTGTGTGTAGTTCCTTCTTTCCGGCAACTTTATTATAAACTTTTTTTAAGTATTTGCACGAGGGTTTTTTTTATGTCTCATATTAGAAGTGTTTCAATAATCATACGACCTGTGATTGTTTAGCATAGTTCATATTAAATCAATTTTATTTTTTTGACAAGACTGAAATGAATGCCTGTTTCTTAAAATGATTTTTTTTTAATTTCAATGATTTATTAATATAAGGATTTTCAAACATAATATGCGGAGTTTCATTTTTAGGAAAGGAAATACAATTTTTTCCAGAATGTAAGATGTTGCTCAACTAATAGTAACTATTTCAATGGATTTTCTTTCTCAATCAGCATCTTTAAATTTCAAGAACACGATTTTTTTTATCTTGCATCATAGTTACCTCTTTCTTTTACGATTAAATTCTCTAAAGTTATGAAGTTTAAGAATGTAATGTCGTTCTTTTGCCTTTTTGACAGGTTTACAGACTTAATCCTTTATTGACTTGAAAGCTAGTATTCTTAACATTTTTATAAGAAATACGAAAGTGAAAAAACATTGGCTATCTGTAAAACTGATAAGAAAGGCTTCGGTATTTGATAAAGTGGTTACAAGGGTCCTTTAAATCAATATTAAAGCTATGATTTGTCAAAAAAGAAACAATTCATAACAGCAGCGACATTTTTCTGATGAGAAAAATAAAAAAAAAAATAATAAAAGACCCATTTTATCCCCCCTTGTATTTAATTTCTGTTACACTAAAAGTAAGTTATTTAACAATTGAATGAATCAAACATTACTTGAATTTACGTCATGTAACCCAGTATTCATGACAGAATCAGAAGACTGATAATTTTGAGCCCAATTAATTTTTGAAACAATATTCTAAATATGTGTCGAATAATAGTATTAATAAGGAACGGTGTTTAAAAAAGGAAATAATAACAAAAAAAAAAGAAAAAGAAAATGACAAATTGTATGGTTACAAATAATAATATGAATTAATTGGGTAGTACAATCTATGTTGAGAGAATAGTCTTGCTTGGTATTGTCAAAGATTTGGCCTAATGCAAGTTCATCCTGGTGAAGTCATTCAGTTTGTTGATACCATCAGGGCGGAATGACTTTAGACTGTGCATCCAGATTTCTTCTTTGTTTTTCTTCTCTGACCATCGGTCCATTTTTGGTTATGGCCAATACCCACTACTATCATGTTCTCCCATTTGTGACTTTCAAGGTTAAGTTTCTTGGTCTTAACGGTCGAACGGTGATTATTGATTCTCCTGTGGAAATCTCCCGATTCCCTAACGTACTGTTTGAAACAAACTTTACAACTGATGAGATATATGCAGTTTTCTGTTTGACAAGACAAATTCCCTAGAATTCTCTAGCTGTGGCCTGTAACGGGGCTGTTAAAGCTGTCTGTGTTGGAGCTGTGCTTACAGAGAAACCATCTTCTGCCAGAGCAAGTTTTTAACCCCCCGTTAGGGGGTCCAATCTGTTGTCCAATCTGGTTCTTACTACCATATCCTTTCAAGTTCCTCGGGCGCCTATAGGCAGGAAATGGGGGGTGTAAACTTGCTATATAGTGTAATAAAGGAGGTGCCGAGGGATTTTTTCAGCATCGAAAGCATGCCTAGATACCCGAGCGGTCTAATGCGCTATTCCTGCACTGCTAGGAGAAAAATTCGCAGGTCGAGAGTTCGTTATTATAAATTGAATGTGTTTGAAAATAATGTTAATTTCATTGCAAAGTGTATCGGTAACGATCAATTAATAAAGCTAATGTACCAATAGCTATATGCGCGCCTCTTCATTCTTCCTTTTAAGCTGCTTTTTTCAGCTTTTTAATCAAAGTCATTGAGGTATTGATTACATTTATGTAATCTTTTATCAAATGACCACTACGTCATTGAGATATAGAGTCATCAATCGTTGAGTATATACGATCAGATAAATCGATTAAATAAAAACAAAATTTAAAACCTTAATTTAAAAAATTAAGGGGAAAGAGCTGAAATATCTTTATGATAAAATCTAAATATATCTCCAAATTACATGGAATACCCCCCCCCCTCCACTTCTAGAAAAAAAAGTATGAAGAAATACAGAAGCATCTCATATGGTTTTGTAGATGAATTTTCGCAGAAGAGAATGGTAATAAACAGTTTTCCAGTGTGTTTTTCTTTGAAAACGTAATAATGAATGTGACTCTGAGGAGGTGAGTACACCATGTAATATGGAGTTAGATATTTTGTATTATTATTATACCATAAGATAAAAAATGTATTACAGAAACATTTGCCCATATTATAACTCATAAATAATATGCTGTAAAAATTGTAAAAAAAAAGAAAGATGGATGGATGGATGCATGGATAGATAGATAGATAGATATAAAATTTAAATCAATCAATCAATATGGATAAATTTCGTTAATTTAAAATTTGAATTACCTTAATTATAATTCACGTAATATCCAAAGATGTCACTTAAAAAGTTTATTTCAAAAAGTCAACGACGTACTCCTAGATTTGAAGAATTCATAAGAATAATAATAACGATAAGTTTTTGACAATATGGAGAACTTCTCTATCTAACTTGTTTATAACTAAAAACGAAACTTGGTTTTGATACTGCTGTTCCTATAAACTAATTCTTCCATTTCAGTTGCTTTATTGAAAACAAATGTAGACACTTTGGAAATAAGGATGTTAAGAGCCATTCTCTGTAACGACTTGAACTTTTGTATAGGAGCTGTGGCACGCATAGTCTCAGAATTTCATCAAATTCTCTATTATGAAAGTCTTTGATACCGTAAACTCAAATCAGGCAAAAATTGGTTGCTACGTGTCATGGTTACCATAGCAACATGTCCTAAAGTTTGAAAAAATGGCATTTTTCAACATGTTCACAGTCCCACAGTTAACGTTTGCAGCAAAGCAAACAAGTGGCAATGACCGTTTCTGAAAGTTGGAGGCCCGTTGTCTTAAATGCATGATAAACATGTTTGGTATTATTAGCTATTACATACGTTACTATGGAAACAAAGTTTCAAAAGTAATAATTTTGTTCATTTAATTTTATAAAGTCATACACTTTAGAATAAAAACAAATATAGGTTGAAATGCAAGCAAATAATAAACAAAAGATCCTTGTAACATATACCAAGGGCGAAAAATGATATTACTTATAGGTTGGCAATGGTTGCCATGGTTTTAACACCACGAAGGGATTTTAAATTTACTCTCTTAGTGTTTTAATCTTATCATAACTTTTTAAAAAGCATATTTCTATACAACTGATGATCAGTTTTTAAAGGCGTTGGTGTGACCCTAATTTCACATTTCAAAAAATTCAAATTCAACTCTTTAAATAGAGCGTTGCTATGGAAATTAGCCGAAAAAATATGCATAAAAATCTGAAAAATATTCTGTTTCCTTGGATACATACCGTTGTATGCAGATTCCCAAAACTTTTATGATTGATATTTATGTACAACTAACCTGACTTTCAATTTAGACTACCACCCACCCTCTAACTGGATGCAAAAAGCTGGCACATAGGGTTTAATATTGATATAAAATTTACAAAATCGAACATCTGTCCTTCTTGGTAACCATAGCAAAAGTGTTGTATTTTTCAACAAACTTTATCAGTATATGATATTCAACTTTAGTTCTACCAGATAAGTACTATTCAAGGTGAGTCAAATAATATGTTTCTTGATTAAAAGGTAAGTAAATTCCTAAGGCAGCAAAAAAATATCACTTTAAACAACTGGTAAGTTGTTTCCATTGTTACACTGCAAAGTAACAACTAATTCAAATTTTTCTTATGTTGTCGATGTTGCAAGGTCTTAAGGATTTATATGTGTCAGTCATGAATTTTATTGTTTTTCCTCAAGAAAGTAGCATTAACCCAATCTTAGCAACATATTTTGCATGGTTACACTGTGTTACCATGGCAACCATGAGAGTTATTTTTAGAATAATATTGCCAATACCTAATTATTTAAGGTCAAATATTTTTATTGTTTTTCTTCAGTTGTTGATTGAGTTTGATCATGTAACACTTATCATTAGTGAATATTGAGCGTTTTTCGGCATTTTCCAGCATCTAAAATGTATTCCAAATGTACCCATGGTTACTACTTACTTAGAGATAAATTCTAAAAGTTTCTTTATAGCATAAGTGGCAACAAGTTGTCATGTTTTTGTGAACATGGTTTGTTTGTTTCTCTTAGTCTTTATTAAGGCTTAATAAAGATTCAAAGTAGCTGAAAATTTCAATTTTTCCGACTTTTCTGGCTGTTACCATGGCAACCAAGACACATAGCAACGAAATTTTATTTGATATATGTTTCTGGTGTCAAGATGTAATAATGGGCAAAATTTCATAAAAATCGGTGACCATGCGTGGCAAAGAAGTTTAAGTGGTTACAGAGAATCGCTATTAATTATAACTTCTTCTTTCTTTTTTTTTTTTAAAGTGTCATTTAAGGTATACAGGATATACCAATTTCTTCCTTAAATACAATTTTTCTATTTTTAGGGTCTTTCGTCTTCAGCGGAAGACCCTTCTATTATTCTTCGGTTTCTTTTTTACCTTTATTAGGGTCTTCCGTCTTCAGCGGAAGACCCTTCTATTATTCTTCGGTTTCTTTTTCACCTTTATTAGGGTCTTCCGTCTTCTGCGTAAGACCCTTCTATTATTCTATTGTTGATTTTTCACTTTTCTTATTAGGGTCTTCCGTCTTCTGCGGAAGACCCTTCTATTATTCTATTGTTGATTTTTCACTTTTCTTATTATTATTATTCTTTTTTTTTTTCCTTACCGATTTTGTGCAGAAGATTTCTCGGAGATCTCTTGATCGATTTGCTTCAAATTTTCAGGGTTAATGCGTTGCTTTCTGAAGTTTATAACGCCGCTTCAGTTTTTGAAAAATCACTTCCGGTCAGAAGTTATCGCCCTTTGATCGATTTTTACATAGACCTTGTGTCTGCACAAAAACTCAAGAACGACAAATGCTAGAGTGTTGAAACTTTCAGTGGTGATAGAGGACATATTCTAGATGTGCACCTTGGTTTTCAAATTTTCCGGAAGAGCGAAGTATGGAAGCTCGGTAGGGGTCAAAATTTAGGACGTGATTTATGGGTGAATTTTAGAGAATTTTCTTATAATAACATTTTAAATAGAAGTATTTTGTTATAACATATTGAACAAAAAAGCTTCAAAATCACAAGACCTTTCATTTGATATCAAGAAAAGGGGGCTGACCCCTCAAATTAGGGGCTCAGAGGGGCCAAAAGTCTTTCATCTATAACTCTTTATTGATGAATATTTTGTTATAAATTATTGAAGCAAAAATGTTTATCTTAACACTCTGCAACTATATATTATAAAATTTTTATCATATGTTACATAATAAGGGGCCATAAGGGGCCAGAATGCTAAATCTTTGACACTTTATATCTCAAAAAGGCGAAATATTTTGATAAGCAATATTGAACAAAAGATGTTCAGAGTAATGTTATAAACAATATACACCCTTATAATTTTTGCAAAACATCCCCATTAAGGAGTTGGAGGGCTGGCCCCTAAATATTGTTATTCTATATAACTCTTAAACGAAAGGAAATTTCTAAATAGTTGTTGAACAAAAAGTCTTCAAAATCACAAGACCTTTTATTTGATATCAAGAAAAAGGGGCTGACCCCTCAAATTAGGGGCTCAGAAGGGCCAAAAGTCTTTCATCTATAACTCTTTAATGATAAATATTTTGTTATAAATTATTGAAGCAAAAATGTTCATCTTAACATTCTGCAACTATATATTATAAAATTTTTATCATATGTTACGTAATAAGGGGTCACAAGGGGCCAGAATGCTAAATCTTTGACACTTTATATCTCGAAAAGGCGAAATATTTTGATAAGCAATATTGAACAAAAGATGTTTAGAATAATGTTCTAAACAATATACACCCTTTCAATTTTTGCAAGACATCCCCATTTAGGACTTGGAGGGCTGGCCCCTAAATATTGTTAATCTATATATCTCTAAAACTAAAGGAAATTTCTGAAAAGTTGTTGAACAAAAAGTCTTCAAAATCATAAAACCTTTCATTTGCTATCAAGAAAAAGGGGCTGACCCCTCAAATTAGGGGCTCAGAAGGGCC